CTTAAAAATGACCCCAAGAGCACCACCCTAATAAAAATGTACCATACACGAACCGTAACCCAAATGGTTTAACCATATCACACATAGTTAGGAAAATAAGCTCAACATGTTTTAAGAGTTGGTTGGAAATGCTATCTAACATGAAGCTTTAGTGCGATAATTTATTTGCTAGAGAATTGTCTCAGCATAGTGTAGGTAGATAGTTCCGTTAGAGTACGGCAGTATGAAAATTGAATAGAAGTTGAAAATGAGCGAAAGGCTATTAATGTGACAGTACATATAATACCAATTGTAAATTTGACAGAACCAGAGTACCATAATTTTCGGGGTATACATTGACATTACACTGGAGCTGTCAAAAGCTCACAGGGGGTGCTCTGAGACTGACATATTCCAGTGTCATTATTGTCATAAAATTGAACCGTAACAGATGCGACTCTTTTGTTCGTTACTAACTTTCGTTGCTTTCATATTTCGCAAGGGGTGTTCAACTCTGCACATCTCAATCTATGCCGAATACTTTATCTGTACCAAAATCTGTGCCAAGCGTTGTGCCGAACGTGCCGAAGTGTGGAAATCAAGGTTTCAATCTCAGTATCCCATGAGTTTGGCAACCCTGCAGGTTTGACTTTTGAGATCGTTTGTTTACCATTTCAAGCTTTCATGGTCGGTTCATTGAAAAACGAAGAAAAAAGTTGTGAATATAAACGACCTATTTGAGTACATATGGGAATGACACTGATGAAGACTGCACATTGTAGTTGAAGTAGGGGATATGACGGCTATGGCATGACAGACTATTTTCGGCAACCCAAATTGAAACACTATTTTCACTGGATTTTCTTACGAAAACACTTCGTTGAATGCATGCAAACGATTCTTTATGCTTTCAGCTTCAATTTGACTATATTTTTACCACTGAGAAAAAGCAATCTATCAGGGTTTTCTTGAAATGAAACACACGCACTACAAATTGTAGCTGATTTCGAGTTGCCGATAATAGAACAGCAGATTTACATGCTGTTCAAGTGGAACGGTTGCCGAAGAAAAACTGGTTGCCGACAATACTCGCTCTCACTAGAGAAAATTGGAGCTTTGTAAAAGCGTTTCAAAACAGTTTTTGACAATTCTTTCGACTGAAATTGTTAGAGCAGCTGGCAGCAAAAGATTGTTAACAAACCAATACTGCATATGTGTGCGTTCCATAGAGAAAAAGGCTATAGAAAGAAGGTCGCTGCTTAGGTTGCCGAGAATACGTAAATTCCCCTACGTATCTGTCATGGATTCCAAAATTAATTAAGTGGAATTAAATGGAAGATAACCTTTTTTTGCTGTTTTGTTTAAGCATTCCGCTTACAACCCCATTTAATTACTTCATTATTTCATTAAGTTCCAGTTCTAAAAAATAACTGCTTTTTGAGCTGATTAACTTATTTTGTGTTACACACTCAAAAATAACTATTTTTACAAGTGATGTAATTCATATTGGACGTAAATCATGGAACGTAAACAAACTTGTCATGTAAAATTAAGTGTACCGAAACCGAAACATACGCAACTCGACAAAAGGTGCGTTTGATTGAATTGATTATCTCGCCTCTTTCAACCTATTATAATGTCATAAGAATCACTTACATGTGTCTGTCTCAGTGTACCGAAATTTACATGACTTTTTCATAGTGTGCAGCAAATAAATCTGAATTTTAATAGTGATGCAAACATTCATGCACGTTAACTTGTGCTTTCACGCAAACGAACAATTAATCGGTGTCGGTGGTGTAGTGGTAAGCGAGATTACCTCTCACCTCAGCAGGCCTGGGTTCAATCACAGTCGGCGTCACCGGGATTTTCTGAGGCATAACATCTCTGATCACGCCTTCCTTCAGGAAGTAAAGTCGTTGGTCTCCGGGTCATGAGTTGATGCCTCCCTGGCATCAGTAGCATTGGCGTAGCTAAAAAAATTATCTTCAGTGGGCCATTTTTTTATTTTGTTAAACTATGGTTTAATAAAACTTCGCGAAATTTTTATTCAATAAAATTGCGTCAAGACAACTTGTTTTTGGGTATTTTTTTCTGAGACCAATTATATGACATTGAGGCTTACTATTATTTAAATGGTTAAAATATAAATTTGAGTATATTGACAACATGATCCAGCTGAAGTCTTGGAAAAATATCCATAGAATTTTACTAATATCTTGTCTATATGGAGAACCGTCTAGGAAGGATGTCTGAATGTATCATGCAACGTTTCCTGAAAATCTACAAAAAATCCCTTAAGTGTTACAAATTTTCTCCAACTTCTACGAAATTCCCTGAATTTATTCCAAATTCCATATTTTTCCATCTCTACGAAGATCTCTGAACATCTTTGCACTTCTGGAAAGAAAACTATTATCTACAAATATTCTTGAACATCTGGAAAGTTCCTTGAAATTAAACGAAGTTTCCAAACCTCCAAGAGTTTCATGGAGCTTTTTTGAAGTAAGATCTGTCACAAACTGCAACGAAGTTTCCTAAACTGAAGCGGGAATTTCTGAAGATTTTAGAAGTTTATTGAACTATTTTTAGATCTTCTACGAAAATCCCTGAACTTTTTCAAAATTCCTTACACTTGTATGAAGTTTTACGCAGATCCTCAAAATTCTACGAAATTCGCAAAACATCTACAAAGTTTGCTACACTTCTACGTTTCTTGTTGATTTTCCACGAAATTTCACGAACTATCCCAAGTCCATGAGACTTAAAAAAAAGTGCCCTTATATTATATAGAGGTTCCCGATCATTATTGAGCTTCCCTGACATAAAATAATGCTCCCTTAACTTCTACGAAGCTCCCAAAATAAATTTTCCAATTCTACGCAGTTTTCAGAACTTTTCTAAGTTCCTTGTTCCTACGATTTTTTTTCTTTCTGAAAATCTATTAAATTTCTAAGATTTTCCCTGAACTTGCTAAGTTCCCAGAAGTTGAAGAAAAATCCCTGGGCTCAAGGCCAATTTTTAGAGGATCCTGAAGACGTCTTATTATGTTATCGATTAAATATCAAAATAGGGTTAACTACCCATTACCGGCCTATTAAGCTCAACCCGCACTTAGTCTTTCTTAATCTAGCGTAGCTAAGCACCAAACGGAATGTTATTATTAATGATTTCTTCCAAATTTATTTATGTATCTAAATTTGATAAAGAGAAACCAATCGTTGAGATATTGTGAAAAGTCTAGCACTGTTTCTTCACACTAAGCTCGGCATACGGATTCTAAACTCGGCCTAACGCATTAAAACGCCAATGAATTCACTTCGGCCTATCGGGTGAAGATAAAAATTGATTCGGTCTTTTGTTTTTGGGAATAATGGGTGCAAACTTTCATAACACGCGTTCTCATTGACTTCGTTCGGTAGTTTATTAACTAAAGTATCGTACCAAACGCATAATTGACTTGTTAACTCTGAAGTCCTCTGAAGTCTGATAAGCCCAAAATGGGCGATTTGGCCGAAGTAGTTCTCTACCCTACTATAATTTCTCAAAACTGTTTCTCCTATTCCAGAACATAAGAAAAGTAGTCAACTTAAAGGACATTGAAAACATCTTTGTTTGTGGATCAATTATATTAAACTAAAAATTCTGGAGAGGCCCCCCTTTTGCCCTCTCCCATTAACTTCGCCAATGGTGCTCAACATGGAAACAAGATCGACGAACAATTTATAAGCAATGTTGTTAACAAAGATGGGCTTTTGTATACAATCTTTGCATTATTTCATGAAATATCTCAGAACTTTACCCGATTTACAATGGAAACTTACATGATATGTGACACTCCATTTATGTGCATCATATTGAACAGACATTTACACTGCTCTTTCGAACTGTGTACACACTTAGAAATACCTAATCTTATACGTGACGGAATCCATCTTTGACATAAAGGATGAGACGTAAACAAACATGGCATGTAAAATTAAGTGCTCCCAGGCTGAAAAGTTTGAAATTACGTTTGATTGAGCTGAATTTTGCGTCTATTATGACTCAATGTTATGTCAAAATTGACGCTCATATATGTCAGTCACAAAGCACCTAAATATACATTATTTTTTCTAAGTGTGTATGTGGAGCACCGTACTGCCAGTAACTTCAAAAAACAAGGCCGAACCGATGTTGCGATACCTGCCGGAAGTAGACATAGCATACACACTAAGAAACTTGTTGAATTTTTAAATTTTCTATTACCAAATTTGATTTTCTGATGAATTTTGAACATTGATGGCGGTAAGCTCCAACTCGGATTAACTTTTAATACCGTCCCTGTTTGGATGATCTGCGAATTGTTTGCATAGCATCGTGTTGAATAACTCTGATGTCGACATCAAAGCAGCCGGACATTCTTGATCGGGATTTAATCCGAGGATAATACCGATTGGAGCTTACCACCATGAATTGGAGCTTTTTTTTGTTTTTTCTTATATTTTCTTATTCTTTGTCGTATGATTATTTAGCATTTTTTACTTTCTCAGCTTTATTTTCCTTTATATAGCGTAGGTAATATGCATAAATGATGTAGCATTTGCAGGTAAAGGGGGTGGACCGGTCATTTATTAGACATAGTAAAATACGCTACGAGAGGGAAAGGGGGCGTCTACAATTGATCAGAAATATGCTACGTCATTTATGGATGGCCTTTAAACTATCTACAGCCATTGACAATGACCTAGTTTTCAGTTCCATAAGTTAAAGAGTAGAGAATGGCTAATCTCGATAGTCCATCCAAGTAGTAAATCCAATCTCATCCTGCGAACCAGCCTAGTGAGGTAGCCAGGGGGGAAAAAAGGAAAGAAAAAAGGCACCTCGACGACTTGTGATACTACATAGCACACTCTGCAGCAACAGCAGCACTAAAAAATAACACCAACAACAGCAACAATAACAAAATCAGCCTCAGCCAGCCAGCGAGGCAAGAGAGGAGGAGGTTTTTACGAATCCATCCATAAACTGTCGATGGTCATGCTCGCAGTGCTCTTCACAGTTGTTCAGCGGCGTTGGACGAATACGGACGCGAGTGAAAGTGAAATCGCGGGTTTTGCTCAATATTTCGAAAGGCGGTTTTTTCGTGACGTTGTAAAACTGGTTTATTTAATATTTTTGTGAACACATCTCCTAGCTGCGCACCGTTCCTGCCATCGTTGCATACTGTCGGTGCCATATCGACGAGCCGCTGTCAAGAAACAGCATTTCCACCAGTGATCCAGACACGTGCTCGAAATTCAAATGTTATCCAAAGGAATCAGGAATCAGTATTTTGCAACGATATGTGGTAATTATCCAATTGATTTTTTTCCCCTAATTGTTACACTAAATTCTTCATTTGATCGCAATGACATTATGTTCGTAGCTCTGTGCTCTGTGTGTGTATACAGATCTTCAAGAGATCGAGAGTGTTTGGGGAAGCATAGGAGATCGGGTACCTACTCTAGGCCAAACACTGCGTAGAGTAGATACATACGCAAAGAAAACGAGAGACGCGAAGAGAGAGATAGATAGAGAGAGAGAGAGTGATCGAGTGCATGTGGGCTTATTGAGCATATTAAATACAAAGTAAAGCAGTGCTAGACTTGCGCGCCGGTGCACCCGTTTTATTTAGGAAAGCGCTAGTGCTGAGCAATTTACATTCAACGTATTAAGAATACAATGTACGTACCTGTGAACAACAATTACTCAAAGCAGAATCTCCAGAACTAACAATGTTTAGGTTTCATGAAGTTTAAAAGGCAAACCTTCAGTAGGTTTTAACAAGGATGCTAACAGTTATGCAGAAATTTGTTTGGTTAATTTTGTCCCGTGCCTCTGTTCTGATTATTTTCGTTTCCCTCATTCCACTACAAATTGGATCCGCGCGTGAGGTGATAAGTTAGTGCTTTCACTACCAGTATCCCCGTAGATTACAAAATACATTTACTTTCATCAGTGCAGTGCCAGCGCACGTGATTGTCCGCCTATCCAGTGGAATTAAGCACTGTTTCCAAGTGCCACTGAACGAGTAAGAAGGGTTGCCTCTCGCTGTCGGGTAGCACTATTGTTGAACTGCGTATAATAAGTGCAAATAACGACAACAACCTAAATTTAAATTTGTTTTACAATGTCAGTGACACCAGCTTAAGCAAATTTTTCAAATTGATGTTAATTTGAATTGCAATTTGTAATTCGTTTTAAATTTCATTTTAAGAATAGTAATTGGGAGAATGCTCGCTGCAGATAACTCTGTATAAATAATGCAATGATTTCGTTCTGTTGAAATGGAATGATAAGTGAGTGAACCGAAAGCAACTTGTATCGATGAATTATGTTATAATTTCTATGACCGTTGGTAAATTTCAAAACGCAATCAAGTTTAATTGATATGACTATTTTCCAGCACATTGCCGCAAATCTAAAGGAACGTGTTATACAAAGGATTCATAAAATAAAGGCTTTCCTATTAACAAAGCATGTGAAATACTGTATTTTGAAACGTTTTCATCTTCTATTTCATTAGTAAAATACATAGCTGCTAGGATAGCTTGCCCACCAAGAAATATATTTTTTGTTGTTGGACTTGACTGAGTAAATCTTCTGCAACCATGAAGCCAATGAGTGCTGATGAGAGCTTAGTCACCGATTGTTGAACCTTAGTACCTCTTGATCATAATATTCAGAACAAATCAAAACTTTAACAATGAGCCGGAGGGTTCAATGTTAGAAGCAATCTGACCGATCTTTCAAGTTTTATTGGGTGTTATATTTTATTTTATGTTTGTTACACAAATAGGGCCTTATCGTCAATTTATAGCTGTCAATCTCAATTTTGCTAGACAAGTAATTGTGATTTATTGTAAACATTTTTTTTTAACTCGTCCTCCATCAATACAAACACTGTTCCAGTAGCTGTGGTAGTGGCTAACTTTAGTTCCTATAATAGTGGAACGCATTGCTTTCTAATGGATTCTACTACTATATTAATACTACCGCATCTTAAGAAAATTAAATTATTGTCTGTCATTTTCGGGCTAATTTTAAGATTTAAATAGGAAAATCTACTTTATTTCAGGGGAATTACGGATGAAAAATTATTGTATCTAGTTTTCTGCCATTATTCCGTCAGACCACAACTAAAAGTACACCACTATTACTGGAACCCTGTTATTTCCTACAAGCGAAAAACTTAATCATAAAATGAATTCCGTTTTTTTTTACAAAATCAGTTTTATTAATTAGCACTTGCTCAATATGAAATCAAGATTTCAATGTCCCTTTCTGGCCATCATTCTCCCATGACGAAACAATATGTTAACATTTTGCTTTGACGTCAGTAGAATCACGTGATTTGGTTGGATGTTTTCAATTTTTTAATATTTTTAGAAGAACCAAAGCGTGCCGATGCAAGCATTTTCCATCTCGTTCGAGAAAATCATGACAAACCTACGAAGTGCACGTAAATAACAATGAGTGAGCCTTTGCATTGCCTGTTCACAGCAATCGCCTACTAGGCTGTTGAAAAGTAACTATTTGTTCTATTTGTTTTACTAACTACAGAGTTAATAGAGCGGCTAGGGGCAAAAATGCTCTATGTCGCACATTAGTTTCAGCAGATTCCCGCCAGCCCTGCTCCCTAAAAATATGCACAGGAAAATAAAATAACTCAAAGATTGAGTTGTTTTAACGTATATTTGGGTAATTTTGAGTTTTGCTTCTCACTCGTACTATTTATTGTTGCCAAATAAGAAACTACAGATTCAAATGACTCATGCCTATGGTTTAATAAGCCACTAGTGAGTATTTGAGGAATTCTCAAATTTGGGTCAATTGAACTTAATTTTGCGTAGAATACACTTTGTGAGTAAGTAACTTTTTTCCGTGGTTTAATGCAAACTACTTTAAGTTGTTTACTCAAAATTTACTTGTTGAACGGAAGTTGGGATATGGTTGAAACGAACTTATTTTTTGAAAATTTGTATTTGCTATGGATTCTTTGGAGAGCAAGATTAATAAACATCAAGAACGCTTGCTTTTCTCATGATGGTGTATAATTTTTTATGTAAAAACGCTGTGTTCAGAAGAAAATACCTTCGGAATTATGCAATACTCATTTTATGCATTGATAGAAAATCTCTTAAAAAAATATTCGAAAGCCTCTTGATTATACTGCCATCGTGTTCAATGTTCACGCATGTATAATTCTACCCTAATGCACTTGTTTTTGTGACAGCAAACATTTCTTTTATTTCGAAAGTTTCACAGATTTACCCACAATTTATCAAAAATTAATGTTAAGCATGAGCATCTACCTGCCTTGGACCACCTTGGTCAAAATTTAGCTGAGTGCTGACGTTCCTTGCTTCACTTTGGCCTTAAAACAAATATATTTCCGGTCAAGTTGGACACCGGAAACGTCGAAAATAGAGCGCATCATTGTGCGAATACAGCGACACTATGCTTAACGTACATAACAGACATTGATTCAGACCACCCTGCTTTAGACGTCCTGATGAACCTCCCAGCGCCATTCGTTTTTAAGAATTGTTCCGAAAATAATCGTACACTGGATTTCCGTCGAGCCGACTATGTTGCGATTAGTGCTGCTATTTCCGGTATCGATTGGTGACCATTAGAATAAGCTGGATGTGTTGACGATGCCGTTGAATATTTCAGTCAAATGATTTGGGATATCATGGCTGAATTTGTACCTATTGCCCGCCCCGCACCAAAGCCACCGTGGTCTAACGGTCACTTGCGTCGACTGGAACGGTATAGGGCTAAATCGCTACGAAGATACTGCCAAAATCGTTCGTACATTATGAAGCAGGAGTTCAACCGCACAAGTAACGACTATAGGAAATGCAACAGATTCCTGTATCGACGATATGTCTTCCGCACGCAATCATCTCTTCGCAGAAATCCAAAGCGTTTCTGGTCGTTTTTAAACTCTAAAAAGATCGAAGTCGGTTTGCCATTGTCAGCTCATCTCGATGAGCAAACCACTGAATCTGAAGCGGAGAAATGCCGCCTTTTTGCTCAACATTTCATTCAATGAATCTTCGGCCTCACCAAATCAAGTCCCAATGGCTATAAACGATTCTCCAACTGATGCATTTGAGCTCCGTTCGTTTCACATCAGTGAACATACCATCAATCTGACTCTTCAAAGGTTGGAGCTCTCATTTGCTGCCGGGCCAGACGGCATTCCTGCGTCCGTTCTGAAGCTGTGTTGGGAGTCGTTGCTCACCCCTTGGTGAAGTTATTTAATCTGTCACTACAGGAGAGTAAATTTCCTGAGGCGTGGAAATGTTCGTATATGTTCCCCGTCCACAAGAAAGGTGATAAAAGGAATGTCCAGAATTACAGAGTTGCTGCTCCAAAGTATTCCAGATCATCATCAATGAAGCGCTCTTCAGCTCTTGTAAAAATTACATCTCCACGGCTCAGCATGGATTCTACCCAAAACGGTCAGTTACAACCAATTTGACCGAATTCGTGTCGCTCTACGTTCGAACAATGGACTCTGGCGGACAAATCGACGCGGTTTACACTGATTTCAAGGCTGCATTTGACCGAGTAGACCTCAACATTCTTTTGAGCAAACTTGAGAAAATCGGAGTGTCTGGATCCTTCATCTCGTGGCTCATATCTTACCTTACGAACCGATCGCTTTGCGTTAAGATTGGAGCTTCTCGTTCTGAAGTGTTCACGAACGTTTTCGGCGTTCCCCAAGGAAGTAATCTGGGACCCCTTCTGTTTTCGCTTTCTTTTTTTTTCGATTTAGGAATGCTTTTAATTTGAATAGCGATTCACAGAGATGTTCACAAATCGAAATGACATTTGCTGTATCGACACACACACATTAAGATATAATTTAAAGACATTATCCCTCGACTATTGTCTCGTGAAACATTGATAAGTTGAATCGATCGCTGCTGGTTGGTAAGTTGCTGATGGACGCAATTAAAATAGTAGTAAATGATTGTTTTCAGGGGCAAGGTGAACGGCAAATCAACAAAAAAAAAAAGATTAGAAAGCTAATAAACAATTTGGAAAAAAAAGTATCGGGATCAACTTGAGAAAATTGTCCCACTAAAAGGACCTCAACTAGCAAAACTGATATAAGAAAAATAACAAACGAAAAAAGTAAATTTGAAGCGTGCGAGCAAGGTAGTTTAATGGCACGAGTCTCTTGGGTAGAATTTGGCCAAGATCGAGGCCGGAATACGCTTGAGCATTTCCTTGGGGAAGATACGGAGCAGCTGCCAGCCGATGTCCAGCGATTCGAATACCGTGCGGTTCTCATAGTTACCTTGCGCGATGAAGTTCTTCTCGAACTTGGTCAAGAATTCCAGATACAACAGATCGTCTGGCGTGAGGGCTTCCTCACCGACAACGGCCTTCATGGCCTGCATGTCCTTACCGATGGCGTAGCAAGCGTAAAGTTGGCTAGGCACATCAGAGTGATCCTTACGGGTCATGCCCTCACCGATGGCAGACTTCATCAGACGAGACAGCGATGGCAGCACGTTGACTGTTGGGTAGATCTGTCTGTTGTGCAGTTGACGATCGACGTAGATTTGGCCCTCGGTAATGTAGCCAGTCAAATCGGGAATTGGATGGGTAATAGCGTCGTTAGGCATAGTCAAAATTGGAATCTGCGTAATCGATCCGTTACGACCCTCGACACGTCCGGCACGTTCGTAGATGGTGGCCAAATCGATGTACATGTAACCGGGGAAATCACGACGTCCGGGCACTTCTTCACGGGCAGCCGACACCTCACGCAAGGCTTCAGGATACGAGGACATATCGGTCAAGATGACCAACACGTGCTTCTCGCACTGGTAGACCAAGAACTCAGTCGCAGTCAGCGCCAGACGTTGAGTAATGATACGTTCGATGGTCGGATCGTTGGCCAAGTTCAAGAACAGGCACACGTTCTCCATGGAACCGTTCTCCTCGAAATCTTGCTTGAAGAAACGAGCAGTTTCCATGTTGACACCCATAGCGGCGAACACGATGGCAAAGTTGTCCTCATGCTCATCGATCACCGACTTGCCGGTGTGCTTGACCAGACCGGCTTGACGACAAATCTGGGCAGCAAATTCATTATGCAGCAAACCAGCAGCCGAGAAAATCGGAATCTTCTGACCACGGGCAATCGAGTTCATCACATCGATGGCCGAGATACCGGTCTGGATCATTTCCTCCGGGTGGATACGGGACCACGGGTTGATGGGTTGACCCTGGATATCCAAAAAGTCTTCGGCCAAAATTGGCGGACCCTTGTCGATGGGCTTGCCGGAACCGTTGAAAACACGGCCCAACATGTCCTCGAACACCGGGGTACGGAGAATATCGCCGGTGAACTCGCACACCGTGTGGCGGGCGTCAATGCCGGACGTGCCCTCGAACACCTGGACGATGGCCTTGGAGCCGCTGACTTCCAGCACCTGACCGGAGCGGATGGTGCCGTCGTTCAGTCGGAGCTGGACGATTTCGGCAAACTTGGGGAACTTGACCTCGTCCAGAATGACCAGCGGACCGTTCACACCGGACACGGTCTTGTAGGTCAGTCGTGGCTGCGAAATGAAATCTCTGGACACGGCTAGGACATGTTCCTTGGAGGCCTGCTGGGGTGTAAGACGATTGACGGACATTTTGTCAGCCTTTTCCTTCTGCTGTTCCTTCACAAACTAGACTGCTGTTGCTGTTCTGCTCCGCGGTTCCTCCTCTTTACGATGGTGATGGATGTGATCTTACTGAACTGGAAACTGCCACGTGACACCGAAAAACCCGGAGACCACTCGACTCGGGATGAGCGACGACACACAAGTGCTGACGGATGGACGAGAAAAAACTTCGTGTCTACTGCTACCTGGATGCCGGCTATTCTACGCTGACGATGTCAAAATGTATGTGGTTATCAATTGCATCACTGATTGTGAGGAGTTGCAGCTGATTGTGAATCGTATGCAGAGTTGGTGCTCTCGTAATTTCTTGACGCTCAGCATCAACAAGTGCAATGTGATATCATTTCACCGCAAACCCGATAATATTTGATTATTCTATTTCCGGGCAACCAGCCAGGTCAAAGATTTGGGAGTAACAGTCGACTGTGAATTGACCTTCAAACCGCACTACAATGACATCTTGACTATAGCTTTATGTTCAATATATCTGAAGACTTTCGCGATCCGCTTTGCCTGCGGGCGCTGTATTGTTCGTTAGTACGTTCAATCTTAGAGTATAGTGCTGTCGTCTGGTGCCCATACCAAGCATGCTGGATAGCCAGATTTGAGAGTGTACAGAAAAAGTTTGTTCGCTACGCGCTTCGTCATCTGCCTTGGCATAACACGGCTAACTTGCCGTCTTACGTGGATCGCTGTCGTCTGTTTGGAATGGACACCTTGGAACAAAGCAGACGGAATGATCAAGCTGTGTTTGCTGCTATATTGATTCCCCCGAATTACTTCGGCAGCTTTTCTTTTACGCACCTGAGAGAGTGATTAGACAGCGTAATTTTGTACATCTAGGGTTACCTACCCTATTTCCGGCCTATTAGGCACAACCCGCATTTAGTCTTTCTTAATCTAGCGCAGTTTTAGTACCAAACGGAATATTATTATTACTGATAGCTTCCAAATTTATTTACCTTTCCGTACGTACCGTAAGAATTGATAAAGAGAAACCAATCGTTGAGATATTGTCAAAAGTCTAACACTGCTTCTTGACGCCAAACTCGGCCTACGGATTCTAAACTCGGCCTAACGCATTGAAACGCCATTGAAACGCCAATGAATTCACTTCGGCGTATTGGATGAAGATAAAGGTTGATTCGGTCGGAGCGCTTCTTTTGCTTTTGGGAATAATGGGACTGGCATATACGAGCGTCAATTTTGACATAAAATTGAGTCATAATAGACGTGAAATTCAGGTCAATCAAACGTACTTTTCGTCGAGTAAAGAACATTTCAGTTTTGGAGCACTTGATTTTACATGACATGTTTGTTTACGTCTCATCCTTTACGTCAAAGATGGATTCCATCACAGTGGGAGTAGACGATATTGTAAATATAGTTTATTTGGTTTAAAATCTTAACAAAAACATAGAGCTGTTAGATTAGGGTAAATTTCCATTTTTCGACCCTTTCTCCTAACGGATTAATTCAATTGTATATAAATATTTGATAGGATTCCCATTTCCCGTTGCTGAAAAAATAACTGAAAGGACATGAATCAATTGGAAATGGCTAAATCAGCTATTCCAGAAAAGGTTTATTTATCCTACATCAGGGGTGGCTTGGAAATGCTCATAACAGCTAAAATGCTACTTTTCGATATCATGAAACTATGAGATATTATAATAATAATGTTTATAGGTAAGATGCAAGAAGAGGAGGTAAAGTTTGTAAATGACACATAAAACCTGTAAATGTTGCCTTCCGAAGGTCACAATTAGCTATTTTATCTGTAATGAGTAATCACGATGAGTTAGTACTCTTCGTTATAACTAATCGCGAATTGTGACACACTGGAAGCGAAATTGATATTGAGTTTTAGAACCATAGTATATAATGATTTGTATGGGTACTATAATGCTCGCTTCAATTGATTTTCCAATGGGTATTTATGTCATGACTTGATGATCAAGGGCTTCTCAAAGTTCATATTGTTTCATCATTATTAATATATTGACAACCTATTATCTAAAGCCACTAAAAAAACCTTTTAAGACGCAGTTGACGGAATCCTTTTTTTCAAATCATTTGTTTTACCACTTCGCATTTTCTTGAGCTGATATCTGGCGATCTACCTAATGTACGAAGCTCAAGCATAAAGCTAAATTTTCAGATCATAGGGTTGGAAACTGTCTCGACTTCCGTACTCTATGCACAATTTTGCTTGTCATACAATATACAAATGTATGTATTGGTTGACATAGAAAGCTCTTAATCAATAACTAAGGAAGTGCTTTAAAGAACGCTGAGTTGAGTGCCAGCAAAACGCTCAAATATCCGAATCGCGCTTGGCTGTAGGTAATCGACGTATACGGTGAGCCTCGAAGTACTTGCGGGTGTTCTCCCACTGACAGATCGTTTCGCGGAACTGTCCTAGGTAAAAGAAAACTTAGGAGCTGCTCGATGGAAATCTTTACTCAAGATTCATGAGTCTCTATTACGAGTACATGACGCTGGAGATTGGCCCTTCTTTGTATAATTCCAATCGTGTTTGCTTCCAAGTTCCTCTGTAAATTTTGATCTGACCATGTTGCAAGAAATCCGTGGAATACCAGATCATCATCGGTCGAAGGTTGTTCCCTTAATTTTTGCAAACAAGTGTCACCATGTAACAATAGGAATGTTTTCACAGATGGGTAAACTATAAACGCTTCCACTGGATATGGAGTATTCAACGAATTTCATAGGGCCTCTTATCAAATGCAAAAATCCTGTTACGTATACGTTGCGAAACTAGTAGCCATATTCTACGCAGTAGAGCAAATTTCCTCACTACCCTCTAATCACTATTTCATTTTTACGAATAGCCTTAGCTCGTTGGAGGTTATTAGTTCAATGAGGCAGATGAAGCACTCCTCGTATTTCCTGACCGAAATCCGAGCCAAATTGAGTACTTTATATAACTGCGCCTATACCATAACTTTAGTCTGGGTCCCATCTCATGGCTCTATTCCGGGTAAAGAGAAAGCGGGCTCGTTTGCTAAAATGGGCTCCTCTGGAAGTCTTCACCAACTGGCATCAACAATGAAATGAGGATGATCGGGGAAGATGGTTACATTCTATTCTCCCACAGATGTCGAACAAGCCGTGGTTTAAAGGGTTAGACATGAGCCGTGACTTTATACGTGTCATGTCGAGGCTCATGTCCAATCACTGATCGTTAGACTCGCTTTTGTTTCAAATCGGGCTAACACGTGCTTTGGTCATGCACCCTCCATTGAGTCTCTAGATCCGAGTGATCTCGACTATTGGAATTTAATTTATGTGTTTTTAAAACGGATAGATCTGAGGATTTAGTAGTTAGTGACATATTGTGTTCTCCGAAGTTGTTAGCTGCCCATCGGTGTACCCCCATATCCGTCTTTTTCATCAGTATGTCGCTTAGTTCGAGATCAAGAGCACATTCCTCTCCAAACCTTGTGTTCTCAATCCCTAACATGCCATCCATTTGTTACAATTTGTTATCCCTAACCTCGAGATAGCCGTGAGTAATCGCCTCCCGCTATACTAACGTTAGTTTCAAGTAATTTTGTAATCAATAATAGCGCCTCCGCAAAGCTGATCGCAGTAGGCCGCGCTTGAAAACTAACGTGTTTTTCTTTTGCTGCGCATTTTTGTCAGCGAATTAAACTTTTTTTTGCTTTGAATTTGTTAATTTGTGTGCTGAAATTTAGTTTTAAGTGTTCATAAAGTTATCATTTAGTGATATATCGTGTTTTTCCTGTGTTGAGGCGTCCAGTTTTGAAGCCAAATTTGATTAAAAAAAGAGAAGAATATAGCAAGTGAAAAATAGAAACATGCAGTGACAAAAGAAAGAAGCAGGCGGTTGACCTTGAATTTAAACTCCAAAATCTACGTCGCAGCTTCAGTTCCATTGTTTAGTGTCGGTTTCATTGCACTCCCAGGAGCCCGGTTCTCCGAGGTCGGATGCCACACTTTCGGCGTGTAGTTCTATTGAGGGATTCGTCACCGTGGACGAGTTTTGGTGAATTAGCCCGGGAAAGTGCTGATAATGTGTCTGTCACGAGTTTTGGTAGTGATTCGGTGGCAGACGTTGCCGTGAATCAGCAAGTTTTTCCGCTTGTAAATGTGTTCGCCTGCTGGTCTCTTACCGGTGTCGGAGATTGCGACTAATCTGAAAAATGCCTCGCTGGATACGCCCAAGACTGGACGGGGAGTAACTGGTGGCCGCTAACGGTTCCTAGGGAAAGCACTAGACGCGAACATCCTCCCAGGAATGGCAGTGCAAGGAAATTTGTGTTCGGAACTACGGAACTCATGGATTGGAGGATCAAATTAACATGGTGAGACCAGTCCAAGTACTTTTTTACAATTTAAAAACACATAAACTAAATTGGGGAAATGGATGTAATGTCGGCCTAAATGCCTCTAATATGGGCCCATACATTAATTCAGCAATCGACTAAATTTTCAATAACGAGCAAAAATATCCGTTAGTTCCGTTAAAATGACTACGGAAAATGAGCCTGGAGAAATAAACGCATTATAAAAGAAAAAACGCTCAAATAAGAAGTCACAAAACCCAATAAGATGAAGACTTGCTGAAACTGGGCCATGATTCGTTGCCAAGACGAACATCCTGGTAGTGGTTGCTTCAGTTAGACCGGAACGCTAGGATGATTTAAAGAACCTAGAGATACTGATATAAAATGGAATAGATCGATGATGATGCGCATTGGCTCTCTAAACCTGCTTAGGCATATTCCAATATTTTTCGGACATTGACTCAGTCGTAGTTGAACTAATAGCAACGAACGATCCAAACTCCAGGACGATTTGGAGAACTTAGAATATCTTATATGCAGGAATATGAATTGTCATTGATGCGCATAATCTCCATGAGTCTGTTTGGATATGTTACTTCGTAGATCATTTGATTTGAACTCCAGGATGATTTCTAGACCCTTGAATAACTAATACACAGCAAAACATAAATTTTAAT